GAAATCAATGATATTGTTCTGTAGTTTCCACACTCAGTTGGGTCGCCCTTCTTTGGGATGGGAACAAATATTGACCTCTTCTAGTCAGCTGGCCAAGTGGTTGTTCTCCAGATTTCTTGGCACAACTTGGTGAGCACATCCAGGGCAGCATAAACTAGAACATTGTAATCCAGACTTTTTACTAGCTAATTTTCAGAGAGCCAAGTCTTAGTCCAGAAGCCTCCACAGAAACCTGTTCACACTCCACTGATGTATGTATGGTATACATGAAATGTACTTGCTCAATGCATGTAAAGTGAGAAGTCTCCTACTGAGTCACAAATTCACCCAGAAATTATGATAGGTAATGAATTTAATCTATAACTATTACATCATAACTACAACAGTGGCTTGAGACAGTTATACTGTTGATTTCTATTTTTAAAACTGTCATTTATATACATATACTCTACGCCTGTACATAAATGAAAACTGTACTGGGAAAACCTGCTACAGAGCAAGAAACTCAGTTTGGTTTGGTTTTTAAAAATTTATTTTATGCTAAGAGAGCTCTGGTGACCTAGTGGCAAGATGCTGCACTGCAATCCCAGAGGTGCACAGTTCAAATCCACCAGATGCTCTCCTGGAGAAGGATGGGGCAATCTCCTCCTGTACCAGTCAGATCTGATTTGATGGTACATGTAAAGATAATACAAAAAAAATTTTTTTTAATTTATTTTATGCTGCAGGCTAGAATGGCACTTAGGGCTCTTGTACACAGGGTCTCTATGAGTCGCAAATGACTTGATGGCACATAACAATAACAACAATTTTATGTTGGTTTGCTTACAAAGTTTGTATACATTGTGTTTTATACTACCCTTCATTCACATTGTGTTTCATACAATCATTCCCATTCATTATGTTTTATAAAATTAATCACTATTGAACTTCGTTCACCATTTTCCTGTTTTTCCAGATACCCAAAGAAAGTAACTTTAAAGGATTAGGTGAACCCAACCCACACTCCAGTATTTTCAATTGCTTCATGTACACATGGAAGTTGTATGATGAATAAGGATAAGCAAAGAATTAATGTTTTTGCACTGTAGCAGCTGTGAACAATACTGAATAGGTTAAAAAATTCCCAGCCAACAAAAAAACAACCAAATAATGTCTGAGAGGACATACTGTCAGGATGCTCTTTAAGGCAAAGATGGTGAGACTTTATCTTACATACTCTGGGCATATTGTCAGGAAGAATTAGTCCTCAAGAAAGGACAATGTGCTGCACTTCACTGAAGACGACATTCAGATGGCTAACAAGCACATGAAGAAATGCTCAAAATCGCTAGCCCTAAGAGAGATGCAAATTAAAACAACTATGAGATATCATCTCACCCCAGTCAAAATAGCAAAATTTAACAGAACAGCAAGCAACAATGCTGGCGAGGTTGTGGAGAAACTGGAACCCTTATTCACTGTTGGTGGGAGTGTAAAATGGTGCAACCCCTGTGGAAAGCGGTATGGCGCTTTCTCAAAAAGTTGCAAATAGAGATACCATTTGACCCCGCAATACCACTACTGGGAATATACCCCGAAGAGACCATAACTGACACCCAAGCAGATATATGCACACCCATGTTTACTGCAGCTTTGTTCACAATAGCAAGGAGTTGGAAACAACCTAAGTGCCCATCAACAAACGAATGGCTAGAGAAGCTGTGGTATATTCACACAATGGAATACTATGCTGCATTAAAAAACAAGGAACTCATGCAATATTACTCAAAATGGTTGACTCTGGAGAACATTATGCTGAGTGAAATGTCCCAGTTACAAAGGGACAAATATTGCATGGTGCCACTGTTGTAGAATGGGACTGTCCTTGGGGTTGGGGAGAGAATGAGTAAGATGGGTTCAATAATGTATGCTGCTCTGAAACAGAGAAGGGAGAAAACTGTTTAAAAGAGATATGTGATTAGGTATTTCTGCCATGACAGGAGTCTAGAGCGATGGCTACATGGTGGAGGGGACCTGGGGGAGGGTTTGTAAAATAATGAAAGAATCTTTTCTTTTACTTTTTCAAGAGGGTAATGTCTGGTGGGGGGAAGCCTTGGGAGGGGACAAATCTACAACAATGAATGAATGGAAATCCAAAGCCTCTGTAAATTTTCACTGAAATTAATAACAAATTTAAATTAAAAAAAAAAAGAATTAAGTTAGAGTAAGGACGGCAATGGAACCACCTTACCTCTGTAAATTGATTTGTGCCACTATTGGAACCTCTACTCAGAATATTACTGCTTTTCAATTTTTGACTCATGCACTTTTAACTTGTCAGTTAAATTTGTATCTTCTAGGCTGCAACACTTCCACGATACATCTTCAAGGATATGAACATGTACAGCTAAGCACAATTGATAACAGTGCATCTAAATTCCAAAATCAATCTCCATAATAGTCTATGTGTTTCCTACTGCCAAGGGGACCCTTTAGAGTAGTGAGAGAAGGCATTCACCCTGAAACCCACAGTGTCCCTTTTCAGCAGGAAGTAGCTAAGAGAATACGCCATCCCCTTTTCCTTATGAATCAGGGTGAAGTCTCTCTCAGGGAGGAGTGATAGGGAATGGCAAGGGGCACACTGACAAAGGAGATTCTTCAGAACTGGCTTTGACAACACTGTGGCAACTGGACAATTAAAACAGACATGGGGTGGGGGGAAAGAAGAACGAACTGGGGAGGAGGGTGGAGAAAACAGTGCAACAATGAATGAATGAAAACCCAAAATCTCTGTAAATGTTCATTAAAGCTAATAAAATTTAATAATAATTTTTTAAAAAAAGGACACATCAGACGCTGTGCCGGAGAAGGAGGCGCAATATCCTCCTGTACCAGTCAGATCTGATTTGACAGTACATGCACACAAAATAATAAAAAAAAATAAAAATAAAATTGTTGTGTTTAAAAAAAAAAAGGACAATGTGCTTAGAAAACTAGAGGGCCAGAAAAGGAGAAGATGACCCTCACTCAAGAAGACAGACTGACACCACAATTGCAACAGTGAGCTTAAGCACAGCAGAGGATGTGAGGATAGAACAGAATTGGGCAGGGTATAGACTGGTTGTACTAAAACCCTATGAGTTGGAGTTGACTTGATGAGTCCTAACAATAGCAACCCTATGCCTACATAACTACTCCTGAATTTTAGAAAACATTTGAACATAATTAGTTTGTTGTCCAACTTAAAAGAGCTGAAATAACCAAAGTGTCTTAAATTCTATCAGAAGCTACAATAAAGGTTTATGCGGTCTAAGAACTGGTGATTTCATATAAAAATCATATGCAATTCAGGTTTCAATAGGCATGTGCTTATGGATAGTGAATGATGTGACATGAACAGTATGGGTTCCTTTATATTTAAAACTCACTGCTTTGAGTCAAGGTAAGCCACTGATTCAAGATGACCCACTAGCAAGTTTTCAGAAGTTATAAATCACATGCCAGGATACTGCTCATCTTTCTCCTGTAGAGTCACTGG